TAAATAAAACTTGAGCTGTTCTGAGCTGCGGTGTGCTGAGTCTGCTTTTGGGGTCCTGTTACTTGAACACTCCGTGTTCTGTGACATAACCATTAAATGATTTAAATACAACGTCAGATCAACAACAAGACATATGTGTGTGTGTGTGTGTGTGTGTGTGTGTGTGTGTGTGTGTGTGTGTGTGTGTGTTGTGAAATATGAGAACTTGAAAAATATGTGTGTAGGAAAAGAATAATTTGAATTTTGGAATTTTCACTTGTGTTCTACACACTTCTGCTTTTTAAATTTACAGTCATACAAAAAACAATCACAAATATGTAGAAGGATATCAACACAAATATGATATTTTAAACTTGTAATTCAACATTTGAAAAGGCAGTCAAAATTGCTCTCTCCCTGTTGTCCACTGTCTGCCATGCTGGATTAACAACCACCAGGCACACCAAGCCATTTAAGTATCTTTGTTTAAAAAAATAAACTCTTCAACTAGCCATAAATTTAGCTTGGACAGCAGCTAAATTTAGCTACTGTCCACAAACACCATTGAGGCTTACAGCTGCTACAGTAAGCCAGAGAATGTATTCAGGCTGATGTTTCTATCTTACCCAGATGCCATAATGTGAGGAAGGTCATTGAACTGTAAGTTCACAGGAAGAGTGAGATGAGCAGAGCAGCTGGCTGACTTACTGCTTTGAATAACATAAGTTTAGATTAAATCTATATGTGGCATGACGACATAAACAAAGGCAGATCTTGGTAGATTTTAAATATAAAATATTCAAGGACTGCAGCAGCTGTTGAACTACAGGTATGTGCATCTGTTTTCTGAGTGGCACAATGGAGCCTATGTACTGATGTGTTCAGCACGTGATGTGCCCCTCTCTCACTAGATGAAATCTAATAGAGGTGGACAGGCCTGGGAAAGATCAGTGAGCAATGAATGAGTTGGCACTCTCCAGCCTGCAAGATATGAGAGAATAACCTGGTCCAAGTCCAAAACGATGTACTAACTGGTTCCGCCACAACAAGAAAGAGTCCTCAAACACACAGTATCTGTCAGTCATTGCAACATGGTAGAAGACTAACCAGATTAAAATATCAGCACACATATGGGTCACTAGAGCTGTGTGTGCTGCTTTTTCCCCTTTTCATTAAGCCAGTGGCGGTTCAGTCATTTAGTTTGTCCTTGACCAGATTTGCTGACTTGCATGGAAGTAGGGACATGACTTTATGGTATCCAGAGGCTTTAGTGAAACGGGTTGGAAAATTACTACATATGAGATATGGGATATGGTTTGCTTTTAAAGCCATGGAGAGCTTTAAAAGCAAATAAGAGAATTTTAAAATGAATCCTAAAAGAAATGGGCAGCCAGTGAAGTGAAGCTAAAATAGGGGAAATGTGCTCAAACTTTCGAGTGCCAGTTAAAAGACGAGCTTCATTAGTTGTTCCTGTTCAAATGTAGCTGGTCTGAATATTTCAGACCAGCTACTGATCTTACTGGTATTTTCCCACATAGGCAACTCTAGGGTTGGTTTTTCTAGTCCTTTTCTGACAAAGTGAATATAAATTTCACATAATGTAGTTACATACACTTACATTGTATCTATTCATCATGCTTTGCATATTCTAAATTCTCCCTTGCCAGCTGGAGCAGCAGTCTTTGACATGTATACTTAGATTACCTTCACTGGTAGCTTCTGTTCTGCCCACAGGAAGGTATCCAGGTGGTCTCCTTCATCTGCACCAGAACCAATAGACATTTGTTTTTTTTTGTTTTTTAAATTAAGAAGCTTCTCACTAATCTTCTGTGGCACATCATGTTGACTGTCTGAATACATCATCTCATGTTTTTATTCACTGTCCCATACTCATGGCTACAGGCTGCAGACTACAGGAAAGGGTGGGGTAAAGATTGTCCAGTGAAATCTCTTGTGACTCAGTTGTTTTTCTACTTCTATGGTACAGAATAATGTGCACATGACTATGGCTCAGGCAAAGTACATTGATACTTTAAATGCTTTGAATAATATAGGGTTTGGGAGTAATGATATATTAAATTGATATATAATCAAGACACAACCTAATATTAATAAATTGTTGTTGTAGTCTAAATTGTGTTCTTTTTTTCATCACTATCAGAATCAATTAAGTTATAAAAACCTGCTGGAAAGGATTGATTTCATTAAGGTTTGGTCAGCTCACACTCCTTGCTGCTGATGCTCTCAGAGGCCAGTGAGTCCCAGAAGTTAGGCAAAATACTAACGCTTCTATGGTCACCATTGTGTTCCCTGCGATCATAAAGACATGAAAAGAAGAATCAATGAATGGGTGAAAACCCCACTGCCCTTTCTGAAGTGTAACTCAGAAGATTTACTAGGAGCCTAGCTCAGATTTATTGTCTTGCTTTAACGTAATTGTTAGCCAGTCCTACAGTATCACATTTTGTGTGAAGGTTGTGTCATATTCAATTTTTTGAGACACTCATTCTGTTGTGCAGGGGGAAAATAACATGCTGTGATTTGTGGCCCTGTCTATTGCATGGTCAAAATGCTTTGTCTCTACTGTGTTTGGTATTCAGGGCTCATTTAACAGAATATTATGAGACGGGGTTTGAGCTGTTGAAGCCACCTGATGCTACATGAAATAATCTTAGTGATTACACAACATAGAATAATTTGAATAAGTTTATTAATTATATAATTAGCAGAAAAAACTGTATGCTAATCATTAGATCCATTGCATTTTAATTATTGCCTTTATGAAATGGAGGCTTGTTAGGAAAGTCAATCAAATATATTTTTGTCTAATGAAACAAAATGCTAATGTTCAGTAAACATTTTCAGTGACAGATTTCTTTCTAAACTGATTTTTCCTTTTTTTTTTTTTTTTAAATATCTTGACATATTTGATAAGCAGTCATTTTGAAACATTTCTTGGACCCACAGACAAGGAAAAAATTTTTTCCTGCCAATTTCTGACAACTTTAAGTTGAAACAGTTGATCCGTTTCATCAGCTTTTTCGTAGTCCAGCCAATTGAGCCAACTTATTCATGCAAAGGAACCTAACAATCTTCATTAAAAGTGCATGTAATAGTCCTGCATAGAAAACTAGTTTCAGCTGCTCCCTTGTTCACAATGGGTCACCGCAGTGAGTAGCTCCACATGTCTGAGTTTTGCACTGGATCCCCTTTCTGATGCCGCCCAGAATCAACTCTGAATATTTTGCTCATTAGGCAAATGTGAAAACCACTACACAACGATACCATTATACATGATGTCCTAAATATATGATGTGAAAATAATTCTAGCAGAAAAATAAAGAGACAAAACCTAATTGTTTTAAAATAGTCCTATAATAGAACTTTCTGGTAAGTTTCAGGCATCTGATATTAAAAGTCTGTCATAGCTATCATGCATCATGAAAATGTCATGTGACATACATAATGAAATCATCGTATTTCAGACCACGACTGACATTTGGTATGCATCTGTAGCTCTTTCTTTAGTTGTATCTGCACATGAAGGACTCTTCCGATTACTTTTAAGCTCCGACAAACCCTTTACATCAGAACTCAGGAAGCACGCTTCAGTAACCAATCAGCATCTTCTATCATTTATTCAATGTTGTATCCTTTAGCACATCTTGGTGAATGTATAGCTCACATAGCAGGCTCAAAACCAGTTAAACATATCATGTAGCGGTAAACGTGTTTTACTGGGTAATGAAGATATGTAACCTTAAATTAATATAGACAACCTCAAGCATCACACAGGCTACACAGACACATGGACATGATTTGTCTACAAGTGATAGATAGATTGTGTCTTTAGACTTATTCTACACATGCATGTTGTAATTGTAAAAAACAATAAGTTCAGTAAACAAACAGCCCAAACAATGAAATGCCAATGTTGCCCCTCTCCCTGCGACTAAACACTGTCAGACGCTGTTGTCAGTGGATTTTGCCTCAGCCTGTTCAGAGCTGATGTCCTTTTCACCACTGGTCATGCCTCTTTTAGATGGTAAGACAGATCCAGTACATTTCAAGGACTCCATTATTACTGCATTAGTCTCCAAGCTGGACATTACAGCGGCTTTGCGATAGCAGTTTCTCAGCCCCTTCTGGAAGCGTATGGTGAACAGGCCATATATGATGGGGTCCAGGCAGGCATTAAAAAGACCAAAGATGAATAGGATGTGGGTCAGAGAGTGAGAGACTTTTCCCTCCAGGTCATCTGGGAAGAACCAGTACCATAGACCCAACAGGTAGTACGGAGTCCAGCACACAATGAAGCAGATCACAATAACAATGCTCATTTTCAGAGTTCTCATTCTTGCTTTTGGGATGTTGTTCTTTGAGCAGCGGAGATGTGGCTCACTGGAGGACACTATAGGAGAGAAAGGAACACATTTGATGTCAAATAAATACATCGAGCATTTCTTTGAAGAAGTACATTTAGAACACACTTTTATCATTTCATTTATACGTTTCTGCTGTGAATCATGTTCTTTCTTTAACTGCAACAGTTTATACATCAGTCTATCCAGCACAACTAACATCACACAGACTTTGTACTGGGGAGACCAGCCAACGTCTGCTCCACTACATTGGACATTTGCATTCTCACATGCACATTTGTCAAATTTTCAGTGTTTTCTCACATTTACTCTGGTAGTAGAAAGATAATCTTTGCTGGTGGCGGAGATGTTAAGGTGACTGCATGGCAAGTAGGAATGGTCAAGCTAGAAAAGGTGGGAGAGTGTGCTGATGGGTCAAAATGACAAGAATACGATGAAACAAGAAAAACATAACCTGAACAGAAGTTGGTGATACTGAAGTTAAATGTTGCGAGCACCTTTTAGCTTGAACATATTTTTTAGTTCTTGTAGTTTTGCCTGTGTTTGGATCAACTACCATTTACTTGGACACTTACTGTTCTTTTTTGTCATCTGTTTGGAGATCTGAATAAAGATCCTGGTGTAGCAAATAATCATAATAACCAGCGGCAGCAGGAAGAGACAACAGAAGGTAAACATGTTGTAAGCAGTTTCTTGCCAGTGAGTAACGAAGCTTCCCCTGGTGGTGCACTGAGTGAAGTTTGCTGGATAGGTAATGGTCACATTATGGAAAATGAACATCTGTTGGATTAAAAATTCAAAACAAAATTAGAATTTTGCAGGCAGTAGCTGTCATCCAACATATTTTTTTTTATTTGAACGTTGGCTTGAAGATTAAAATATTATCCAAATGATTAGACCAAATGGACCAGTATGCCTTAGTCAGTAAGCATGAAATGACAATTAGTAGTGTACCAGAGATTTTTAGGTTTGGGGAGAGGATTGAAATGTGAATCAGTTTAAAAGTTCAGAAAACCCAAGCAGTGGTTATTATTACTTTAATATTTAAAAATACTGCACAGGGTTAAAGTACTTAACACCCAGTGTTAAGTACTTTAACCCTGTGTAGAAGCTAAACAACGATTTACTTTAAAGACATTACAAGAATGTAAGATTTACCACACAGTCCTCAACCTAAAAGTAGTTTCTCTTATATCAATAAAAGCAAAAAGCTATTCTGAAAATATGGGAAACAGTGTGTAAATTCAACCTACACATCCCTATAAAAACTAGGTATTTTTATTTCAAAGTATTTTATAGCTGCACATTGATCATTAGCTAGTAAGGCGTACTAGTACTTCTCTGCCTAAAAACACAGACGCCTGATACACTTTTAAAGCATTATATGAGTTATCAAGAGCACATTTAAGTGCCTATGCAGAGATGTTTTAAAATGGGTCAGCTTGGAGTGTAAAGTCAGCAACATGTTATTTTATCCACCAGCTTGTAAAGTCTGATAGCAGCAGTTTTCATATCTGGTGGCAAAATAAACAGTTGCTTGCTATAAATGGGAAGACTGCTTTCGTCTACCTCTCTTTGTCACAGTTTCAAAAATTACTTGAGACTTTTACAGGGGTTGAATTTACATTAAGAATACCTAAATGATAATTATTGCCCCTTTGAAGTTGAAGTCTACAGATAATTAATCATTTCATTTTTGAAAATTACTCATTTTTGTTCCAACGCTATCAGTTAAAAATGTGAAATATCCAACTATATCATTCCAGACAACACAATACAATATTTTCATAGCTTACTTTAAGCCCCAAAACCGAAAGATATTGCACTTATATTCATATATGAGAAAGAAAAGCTGTCCATGTTTAAGAACATGTGAGCAGTAAATGTTTGGGAAAATAACTAATCAATAAAGCAAGTAATCCTTTCTTTTCTACAATTAATTATTATTTATGATCAGCACATTTAGGAATTCTTGCACATTTCAAAATGTTTGCAATCCTGTGCAGAATCATCTAGCATGCTTGAAGAGAAGATGGGCTATATTTGTGTTTATCATTACACCACAATGAAAAAGTGTTACAGGCTGCACTCACTACCACGCTGTTTACAGGGTAAAAGCCATACAGCCAGGGTAACAGGTCCTGATCTTTTAGAAATCTGAATGATAGAGCTATTAATCCCCAAGGTTTATGCCCCCCTAAAGCCCACAGCAGAAGTTCATGCATCAGTGTCTAGAAAATACCACATCTGATGTAAATACACCCTGGGACACAGAATGATTAATCATGTATTAATAATGTAAAAACACAATCTCATGTTCTCTTACATTTGTTTGCCCACAGTTTTACAGTATTATAAGACTGAGACACAATATTCATCTTCATCTAAAGCCAGTTATAAAGCTGATCTATAGCCAGCCCACTGCCATAGATTATGGATCATTCAAGGAAGGTTGCACTTGCACAGGAAGTGCATGAGGAATCTGCAGAAGAAAAGGTCAGCACTAAAGTAACTACTATGACTCAGACCTTCTCTGAATTACTTAAAAAATGGTCTGTCAAACTATAATCATGTGTCTTGGCTTCTGGTCTCACCTGTGGGATTGAGAGCAAGGCGCTCATGATCCAAGCCACCATTAGCATGACCCTGTTCCTTTTCCGGACCATAGCGATGCCCAGAGGGTTGAGGATAGCCGACTGTCTGTCCAGACTAATCACCACTGTGACAAAGGCACAGGAGTACATGGCCTGAAGCTTGAGGAACATGAGGAATCTGCAGGCCAGGTCGCCGGCCAGCCATTGAACTGTGATGTTCCACACTGCATCTACAGGCATCACGATGAAGGTAACCAAGAGATCAGCTGCAGTCAAGTTGATTATCAGAACTCTAACATGGGACTTACGCTTGTGCCCATTGGCAGCCCAAAGCACAGCCAAATTGCAAAAAGTGGATATGCCACACAGGATAAAGGTAACAATCACTCTGATCTTCGCTGCAGTGGAAAAAGTAGGCAGCTGCAGAGCACCGTCCACTGATGTCCAGTTACAGTGAGGATCTGGCCATTCACAGCTGGCGTTGAGGTCAAGTCCTGATCTCTGCTGGTACATGACAGCTGCAGGATCACAGCAGGAGGAGCCGTTCATTTTCTGACCCTCACCAAGAACCCAGCATTTTGCTCAGCTACATGTGGAGGCTGCAGTTGCTAAAGTGAGATCAAGCATAAATATAATATACATGAGCTTATGCATGAAGTTGATGCACAAGATTTATCTGCATTGATTTGCATAATAGGACTAAAAAATATTAGTTCTGTGATTAATACAGTCGGTGACAGAGAGGGAGCAGTCTGCTGCATAGAGCACATCTCTCGGATGTGCTCACTGAGGTGGAAAGACGCTGACTTCTTCTAACAACCCATCTTCTCTGAATAGAAGCAGCATCAACAACAACCAGTCAAGATAATTACACCCCAATGGCATCAATTTTATGAGTCAAAAATACTTACTATAATACTAATACTAAGTTTATTATATTTATGAGACAAAGTTTAGCATCTCTCACTCACAAAAAATGCAACTTAGCTGTGGCTTTTATGCGTCTAATAATATGTGTGTCATTTAAAATGTAAATCAACAATTAGAAGTCGTAGTCAGCGTCAAAAACAGCACTGTGCCTGAAAACAAAAACAATTAAAAATACATTTATAAGTACTAAAGTACAATAAAATAAAATTTTAAAAAAAACCTCACATTTTGGTGTTGCAGATCACTGTACTTTCCAGACGGTGACCAAATCGAAGTACACTCGTTTTATGGAAGTCCGAAATTCCGGTGCGGCTCCATGTCCCTGCAGCAGGCACAGTGCAGCGCTGAGCTTCTGAATAATAACTGAAGAATCTCAAATGTTCCCTCACAGTTTTATCTCCGTACCCCTTCTGAGGAGCTCATCTCGGTTTTTATTACTCCCTCCGGTGAGCGCGTCAGCCGCTCTATGGGCGCGGCTACACCAGGGTCCCCGCATCTGATCCAGGGGCGTCAGTTTCAATGAAGCCCGAGCTCCGGCGAAGTTTCTAATTTTATCTCTGGCTGAATTAATTCAATGAGGCACTACAGCCCCTATTAGCATCGCTGTTATCCACAGCATCCCAAACCAGCTCTTGTTAACGACGTGAGATTGTTACTATAACAAGCATAATGTTTTCTTGTTGAGCTGGTGAAGCTTTATTGTTTCATCCCCCTAAAGCTTAATGTTTACTGATTAACTTCCATAAAGCAATTGTCTCTTTTGATGGCCTACACAGGTTTATTTGTTTGTTTCCTTTTGTTTTCTTTTTGTTTTGTTGGGGGGTTTTTTTATGTTCCCTGTCAGGTAAGAAGCCCACAAATCAAATTCAAATTCAAATTCAAATTTTATTTGTCACGTACACAGTCATACACAGTACGATATGTAGTGAAATGCTTGGACAACTTGGACAAATCTATTCTAGTATTACGTAATTAGTCGATTACTAATTACGAAACTGGAAAATACTAAAAAATAAAACTTCAGTGTTGAGCTGAAGGCAAACACCTTACTCATGAGGTTGATTTCAGCATCTTGCTCCTGGATGCAGCAGGCCTACTGTAGCCCAATTTAGACTGTTAAAATACATATAAATTAGCTTTTACCGTTTTCATCAAAGCATTTGTGCTGATGTAAAGCAGGAAAAGGTAGCACAAAACACCCACTCAGCAATGTTTTGTAGCTAAAAAGTTGCTTTAACTTATGTACTAATCAGAGGGTTTTTGTCACCCAAATGACTCAAGAGTTAAATTTAAAAAAAAAAATACCTTAAATAATTTATTATATGGTTTAATCTATTTCCACAAGTAAAGCTAACTCATAACTGGGTTTCATTTTCCTAAATTCCATAATCTACACATGGGTCCAAGCTTTTGTAGAGTTATGGTGGTCAGCTAGAGTTTAGACAGTTGAGTATAATTTTTTGTAGTTTGAGTTATTTTGAACAAGGCACAAAATAATGGTTGAAGAAAACCTGCAAGAAAACACTGGAAATGAGTTTCTCTCATTTTAGGGTCAACAAACTCAGAGTTATTTGCTAAACCTTCTTCCTGGAATAGGCCTCGGTGCACTTACATATAAATAAATCCACAGACTTCTACGCTGCAAGATGCATGTTGTATGCTGTTTGACCAAAAAGCTAGGGCTAAGACTAAACGGAGACTAAAAGAAAACTGAAGATAAGATTCCACATGAATGTTACTAATGCACAATGCCTCCTGTTTGTAAATAACATTTAAATTTATAATAACGGATTATATGGCAGTGGGGAATAAATTTCACTACAGTAGATGTCTATCTGAAAGTGCTGTGATTAGAATTAATTTATCTGAATTTCAGGAGCGGACCCACACCTCCATACATACACATCTACTAGAAATGCTGTCAAAGTTAAAATGAGGATGTGGTCCCAGCTAGTTAACTTAGCTACACTAAAAATGTGTAAATCTTCCACTGCTATTTTTTCAGTGGCATGTGGCAACACTGTGCAGAGCAGTTACTTAAACTCTGCTCCAACAGAGGTCGAATATCTTGTTAATAGTGTGACATCCTCACTGTGCACGACCCTGCATACTTTGGCTCTTCTAAAAAAAGAAGGAAACAAATCAGAAATTCCTGAAAATGCTGACAGTGAGAGAACTGACAGTGAGACCACATTTCTCTCATATAGGCTTCTATTCTTTGGCTCACTATTAAATCAAGAAGGAAATTTAAAATCCTTTTCCTCACTTTCAAGGTCTTGAATAATCAGGCACAATCTTATCTTCAAAACTGCATATTACCATTAAGCATATAGTTCAGACCCTGAACCCTTTCTCAGTAACACTGCATTAGGCTTAGGTTGCTCAGTTTCCCACGGTGCCCTAAATGATTCTTCGTCATTCATCTCTTTTCGCTCTCTATGTGTGAATACACCATTTTGCATTTAATCAAAGTTATCATTAAACTCTGCTCCATTAGTGTGTCTTTTGTCTTTTGTCAGTCCTTTCGTCTCCAAAAGGTCATCATGGCAGATGGCTCCCATTTCCTTGAGGCTGGATTTTCTGGGCATTTCTTCCTGTTAAAAGGGAGTTTTTCCTTCACACTGTCAGCAAATTCTTGCTCACAGTAACCAACAACCAGCGATCGGGTAAACTGACATATTTAGAGTGCAAAAGGTGTTGTGACTATTTCTAGATTGAGAGCAGTAACTGCCTTTAGCCCTGTCATTAGCATTAGAAAGCACCTTCATTTTTACAAAAAAGTTGAGTAAAGTTCTCCTCAGTATCAGCAAAAACATCAATACACATATTTCCCAAAATGCTGATCCATTTTTTAATAGAAATGTCAGCCTGTCGGTGTAGTGTTTCCACTGCAGAGAGATGACAAAAATACTATATAGTATACATTTATTTACTACATAAACCCTCTAGCTAGAAGTCTTTTTTGCCTCACTCATAGCTCGCTTCTTCCTCGCACGACAGTTTCTCAGCACATTAATGTGAGAACAAACACATCCCGCAGTCTTGCAAAATGTATATGTCTTTTCTTTTTTTCTTTATTTTAACCTCCTAGGACCTGGCGTCCACATATGTGGACATCACATTTTGGGTTATTTAGACTAAAATACTCAATTTTGCTCTACATGGGCCTGATATCCACTTACAAGGACATTATACTGCTACTGTTCTATCAAAATTCTAAACCAATATCCTCATATGTGGCTCTTATTTTTCTTAAAAACAAAATAAGGGAAAGAAAAAAAAATCTGGTCATTCTTTGTTTTTACATTCATCGGGCCCCAATATGCCCAAATATCAAAGAGAAATAAAAAAATGCATGCTGTGGAAGAGTTCGGGTCTTAGGAGGTTAATTATAGCTACTCTGAAAAAGGCCTTAATTTCTGCTCTTTTTATGAAGTAATAAAAGCACTCAAGAATACATTCAGTGTCAAATCTTGGGGGGAAGTGCCTTCTTTTCGATACTGCTTGAAGATTTAGCAGCAGAATGGCTTTGCAAAATTGAAAATCTGCAATTTAACCAAAAGCGTTGCATGTAAAAATATCTGACTCCTTTGCATTGAGCAAAAAGTGATGGAAATGATGATGAGACAGAATGAAATTGTGGGAAAGCTGTTTAAGCCTGTTTTCATTTTTTCCACTTTGCGACGATTGTTTTAACAATACGGTAAGGCATCTGGTTTTACCAGAGGAGAGAAAAGCATCTATTTATCCCCTTACGAGTTGCACCTGAGCAGAAAATGTGAGCTATAATAAGATGCACTTCAGTTGTAAAGACCTGTAGAAGCAGATGTTAATTTATATATGAAGACATGAAGTCTGAATTATTTGCTGCAGCTTTACTAAGCGCCAGAAAGGAACATAGTTTTCCTATAAAAAACTTTTATGAAAACACCAGCTGTTCTGCCTTCTACCAGAGAGAAAGTCAAATAAAAGATTCAATTAGAAGCATGTCTGTTCATGCAGGGGAAATCAAATAATTACTGAAAGGCTGGATGATGCATTTTAATTATTGGTGCTGTTTTGAACAAAAAGGCACAGGAAAAGAAAGACTTAATGTCATGATATCCCTGACTTTCTAATAATTTGCAGCGGAGGATTATCCATTTTTCAAAGCAACGGAGAAGCTGATTGGTGCTTGCTGTTGGCTTATGTTGACACACTCTGGGCTACTGTCCAAACAGGCCACAATCTTTTCAGCTCCACAGAAATTAAACTCATTTTCACTTTAATCCACAGTGACCTTTGTGCTTGTCCTGAACTCAAGTATTATCACAAGTTAGATTAAGTCCTTTCTGGAAAGAAGTCATTGAAATCTTGGCTGGTAAAAACGGTTTTGCTTGGTAAAACTTTTCTGTATCTCCATGACTATGTCTGCTGTGACACAGATAGGTGTCATCTGCAGAAATATAGAGAGAAAACTGAGGTCTTACACTGATCGGCTTCATAATTGTGGTCAGAATTAAAGTTTGTCAATGAAGAGTCAGATTCAGCCAGAATATAAAGAATGGGATGAATGGATGACAGGTGAATCCTGGGCATTTAAAAAAAAAAAAAAGAGATCATTCATTGCTTCATTATGA